TGTTGTGTGTATGTGTCACTCCCATGGTACCTAGTGTTGTGTGTATGTGTCACTCCCATGGTACCTAGTGTTGTGTGTATGTGTCACTCCCATGGTACGTAGTGTTGTGTGTATGTGTCACTCCCATGGTACGTAGTGTTGTGTATGTGTCACTCCCATGGTACCTAGTGTTGTGTGTATGTGTCACTCCCATGGTACCTAGTGTTGTGTATGTGTCACTCCCATGGTACCTAGTGTTGTGTGTATGTGTCACTCCCATGGTACCTAGTGTTGTGTGTATGTGTCACTCCCATGGTACCTAGTGTTGTGTATGTGTCACTCCCATGGTACCTAGTGTTGTGTGTATGTGTCACTCCCATGGTACGTAGTGTTGTGTATGTGTCACTCCCATGGTACCTAGTGTTGTGTGTATGTGTCACTCCCATGGTACGTAGTGTTGTGTGTATGTGTCACTCCCATGGTACGTAGTGTTGTGTATGTGTCACTCCCATGGTACCTAGTGTTGTGTGTATGTGTCACTCCCATGGTACCTAGTGTTGTGTGTATGTGTCACTCCCATGGTACGTAGTGTTGTGTGTATGTGTCACTCCCATGGTACGTAGTGTTGTGTGTATGTGTCACTCCCATGGTACGTAGTGTTGTGTGTATGTGTCACTCCCATGGTACCTAGTGTTGTGTGTATGTGTCACTCCCATGGTACCTAGTGTTGTGTGTATGTGTCACTCCCATGGTACGTAGTGTTGTGTATGTGTCACTCCCATGGTACCTAGTGTTGTGTGTATGTGTCACTCCCATGGTACCTAGTGTTGTGTGTATGTGTCACTCCCATGGTACGTAGTGTTGTGTGTATGTGTCACTCCCATGGTACGTAGTGTTGTGTGTATGTGTCACTCCCATGGTACGTAGTGTTGTGTGTATGTGTCACTCCCATGGTACGTAGTGTTGTGTGTATGTGTCACTCCCATGGTACGTAGTGTTGTGTGTATGTGTCACTCCCATGGTACGTAGTGTTGTGTATGTGTCACTCCCATGGTACCTAGTGTTGTGTGTATGTGTCACTCCCATGGTACCTAGTGTTGTGTGTATGTGTCACTCCCATGGTACGTAGTGTTGTGTGTATGTGTCACTCCCATGGTACGTAGTGTTGTGTGTATGTGTCACTCCCATGGTACCTAGTGTTGTGTGTATGTGTCACTCCCATGGTACCTAGTGTTGTGTGTATGTGTCACTCCCATGGTACGTAGTGTTGTGTGTATGTGTCACTCCCATGGTACGTAGTGTTGTGTGTATGTGTCACTCCCATGGTACGTAGTGTTGTGTGTATGTGTCACTCCCATGGTGTGTTGTGTTTACTCGCGTATTACATCCAACAGAGGCCATCAACACACACAGTTGTTGCCGGATATTAACGTGAGGCTAAAGCTGGTTTATCGAGTTCTAGTTTATTACTTGTTTAATCTCAGATCTAAAAATATATGAGCTACATTTTTAATGAGCCTGACTACAGCTGCTCTAGATTATGCTGATGAGATTAGTTGCACACTGTACATGAATATATTATTTGTACATGAATATATTATATGTACATGAATATATTATATGTACATGAATATATTATTTACTTCATTTGATCTATGGACTTTCGTTTTGTTGGAGTTTGTACAGAAATAATACTCATCCTGTACCCTCAGAGGTTCTAGTTCTTTTCTTAAGACTACCTCATAACGTTTGCCATGCCGTGTACACTCAGATGTATAACGTGAGTACACTTCACACGTGAGTCGGTTGTTTGTTTGGCTCTGCATGTGCATCAGGTGCCATCAAGAACCTGTGTCAGGACCGTTGGTTCCTTAAGAAAACTGCGCTGAATGACAGTCATGTCAGACATTGATTGTCCAACAACTGCGCTGAATGACAGTGATGTTAAAGACAAACATGACCTGTCCCTGACCACGACAACCAACTGCAGTAGAATTGTTCTTCTATTGTGTACCGCCCCTTCCATTTGTTTTGCTTTCGTCGCCTCTGTTTTCTTATCCGCCAACAATCCTGGTCATTGTGAGCTGGGGGGGGGGGGGCGGTTTGATGCCTTGTTTTCATGCCCAAAATAGCAGCTCTAAAAACGGGGCAGCGTGCTATTTTAGGGGCAGAAAATCTGGCATTGACAGGCTGATAAAACTGGTCTTCTTTAGCTGAAGGCTCGTGACGTCATATGGAGTTTTGTTTTTCTTAAATCTTTTTTTTTTAGTTGAATCAGCAATGGTTGCATTGCTCCTAATGTGGAAGTTTTATTTTTAAATCTGAACTCGTGAGATTTTATCCACCTCCGGTGCAACTTTTTAATGTTATATTCATGTTGTTTGATTAAATGACACCAAAGCAGTGTCTAACATTGTTTCTGGTTTGTTTGTTTTTCTAATTTGTGTTGACATATTGATTAAATGCAGCGTAAGTAGTCTATGGACGGTGAGATTTATTAACTAAAAGCTAATGCTACAAGTTTATCATTTCTCGTTTTGAGCTAAGTGTTAGTAGCTAGCTGAAAATGTGACGTCATTCATCAATGGGGGCGCCGTTGTTTGTAGCAAAATGAGGCTATAAGGGCAATAAGTTCAGGCAACGGAGGCGCCGTTGTTTGTAGCAATATGAGGCTATAAGGGCAATAAGTTCAGGCAACGGAGGCGCCGTTGTTTGTAGCAATATGAGGCTATAAGGGCAATAAGTTCAGGCAATGGGGGCGCCGTTGTTTGTAGCAATATGAGGCTATAAGGGCAATAAGTTCAGGCAATGGGGGCGCCGATCCCTTTATCAAGTCTAGGAGCGCCATGTCCAATCACTTATTTTGTAATTTTTCGCGCTGTCCCCAGCACCGTTGTACTCTAACGGTGTCTTTTCCATTGTGTCAATGTTGTGTCAATGCTGTGATTCTCTGTATAATTCCCAACCGGTCACGTTATTATGTACAAGATCCGACTTGCTTTAGAGCCAGTTAATATACATAGATCATATCCAAAGTCAAGTGTGTATAGATGCACGTCTGGATATGGACTGAGAATCACTGAGGCCAGTGATAAACGGAGTGATGTTCCAGTGATATGACCCACCCCGACACACTTTTCTTGCTTCAGTACACATTCAGTTCCACATCATGTGTACAACAAAAATCATGCCCCCCACACACACACACATTCCTTGCTTCAGTACACATTCAGTTCCACATCATGTGTACAACGAAAGTCATGACCCCCCCCCCCCCTCACACACACACACAAACACACACACACACACACACGCTTTCCTCGTTCGTTTCACTACACATCCACTATAGCTGCTTCACATTTTCTGTTCTCTTCACAACACAAGACAATCTTTTCTTTCAGAACCAGGGCTAAGATACATTTCACATTGTATCACTGAATCCCATCGATAGATCAGCTTTACTCCCTTGGATGAGGGCGTATATTCCGTTAGAAAGATGACGTAGATTTCCTTAAAAGGATGACGTAGATTCCCATAGATCGTTGACAGAGAACGATGATACCGCTGTGGTAATAGATCACATCTGTAGATACCGCCCCCACCCCGCCCTGTGACGGCCGCCATTTGTTGAGGCCGGTGTCCCCGAGCGGGTAGAAACACATTAGCCGTCAGCAACTCGCGGTCACGTGATGGAGTGCCGGGGACACGGGGGGGGGGGGGGGTCGACATTCAACTGTTGGATGGGGTTAACATTCAACAACTTGATGGGGTCGACATTCAACTGTTGGATGGGTCGACATTCAACTGTTGGATGGGGTCGACATTCAACTGTTGGATGGTGTTAACATTGAACTGTTAGATGGTGTTAACATTCAACTGTTGGATGGGTCGACATTTAACTGTTAGATGGTGTTAACATTCAACTGTTGGATGGTGTTAACATTCAACTGTTGGATGGTGTTAACATTCAACTGTTGGATGGGGTCGACATTCAACTGTTGGCTGGGGTCGACATTCAACTGTTGGATGGTGTTAACATTCAAATGTTGGATGGTGTTAACATTCAACTGTTGGATGGGTCGACATTTAACTGTTAGATGGTGTTAACATTCAACTGTTGGATGGTGTTAACATTCAACTGTTGGATGGTGTTAACATTCAACTGTTGGATGGGGTCGACATTCAACTGTTGGCTGGGGTCGACATTCAACTGTTGGATGGTGTTAACATTCAAATGTTGGATGGTGTTAACATTCAACTGTTGGATGGGTCGACATTTAACTGTTAGATGGTGTTAACATTCAACTGTTAGATGGTGTTAACATTCAACTGTTGGATGGTGTTAACATTCAACTGTTGGATGGTGTTAACATTCAACTGTTGGATGATGTTAACATTCAACTGTTAGATGGTGTTAACATTCAACTGTTGGATGGTGTTAACATTCAACTGTTAGATGGTGTTAACATTCAACTGTTGGATGGTGTTAACATTCAACTGTTGGATGGTGTTAACATTTAACTGTTGGATGGGGTCGACATTGAACCAATGGATGGGGTCGACATTGAACCAATGGATGGGGTCGACATTCAACTGTTGGCTGGGGTCGACATTCAACTGTTGGATGGGTTCAACATTCAACTGTTGGATGGGGTCGACATTGAACCAATGGATGGGGTCGACATTAAACTGTTGGCTGGGGTCGACATTCAACTGTTGGATGGGTTCAACATTCAACTGTTGGATGGTCTTAACAATCAACTGTTGGATGGGGTCGACATTCAACTGTTGGATGGGTTCAACATTCAACTGCTGGATGATGTTAACATTCAAATGTTGGATGGTGTTAACATTCAAATGTTGGATGGTGTTAACATTCAACTGTTAGATGGTGTTAACATTCAACTGTTGGATGGGGTCGACATTCAACTGTTGGCTGGGGTCGACATTCAACTGTTGGACAGTGTTAACATTCAAATGTTGGATGGTGTTAACATTCAACTGTTAGATGGTGTTAACATTCAACTGTTGGATGGGTCGACATTTAACTGTTGGATGGGGTCGACATTCAACTGTTGGATGGGGTCGACATTGAACCAATGGATGGGGTCGACATTCAACTGTTGGATGGTGTTAACATTCAACTGTTGGATGGGGTCGACATTCAACTGTTGGATGGGGTCGACATTCAACTGTTGGATGGTGTTAACATTCAACTGTTGGATGGGTTCAACATTCAACTGTTGGATGGGTTCAACATTCAACAACTTGATGGGGTCGACATTTAACTGTTGGATGGGGTCGACATTCAACTGTTGGATGGGGTCGACATTCAACTGTTGGCTGGGGTCGACATTCAACTGTTGGATGGGTTCAACATTCAACAACTTGATGGGGTCGACATTTAACTGTTGGATGGGGTCGACATTCAACTGTTCAACTGTTGGATGGGGTCGACATTCAACTGTTGGATGGGTTCAACATTCAACTGTTGGATGGGTTCAACATTCAACAACTTGATGGGGTCGACATTTAACTGTTGGATGGGGTCGACATTCAACTGTTGGATGGGGTCGACCCTTGGCACGGTGTGGTCTAGTAGACACTCGCCATCACAGCCATTAGATCTGTCTTGGTTGGCTTAAGATGATCAACATGACCCCTTGTAACGATCAGATACCAGTGTAATCCCAGTTATCCTGACCACAGTGACCCCGCAATCTTGACCACAGTGACCTTACAATCCTGCCCACAGTGACCCTACAATCCTGCCCACAGTGACCTTACAATCCTGACCACAGTGACCCCACAATCCTGACCACAGTGACCCTACAATCCTGACCACAGTGACCCTACAATCCTGACCACAGTGACCCTACAATCCTGACCACAGTGACCCTACAATCCTGACCACAGTGACCCTACAATCCTGACCACAGTGACCCATGATATCCTGACCAAAGTGACCCATGTTATCCTGACCCACATGACCCCTAGTGTAAGACCCACACGCAGTTGGTAAACAACATAAAGCCTGTGGTATGTGCTGACTACAGCACATATTGATTATAGAATTGTTCGCCTATGGTATGTGCTGACTACAGCACATATTGATTATAGAATTGTTCGCCTATGGTATGTGCTGACTACAGCACATATTGATTATAGAATTGTTCGCCTATGGTATGTGCTGACTACAGCACATATTGATTATAGAATTGTTCGCCTGTGGTATGTGCTGACTACAGCACATGTTGATTATAGAATTGTTCGCCTATGGTATGTGCTGACTACAGCACATATTGATTATAGAATTGTTCGCCTGTGGTATGTGCTGACTACAGCACATATTGATTATAGAATTGTTCGCCTATGGTATGTGCTGACTACAGCACATATTGATTATAGAATTGTTCGCCTGTGGTATGTGCTGACTACAGCACATGTTGATTATAGAATTGTTCGCCTATGGTATGTGCTGACTACAGCACATATTGATTATAGAATTGTTCGCCTATGGTATGTGCTGACTACAGCACATATTGATTATAGAATTGTTCGCCTATGGTATGTGCTGACTACAACACATATTGGTTATAGAATTGTTCGCCTGTGGTATGTGCTGACTACAGCACAACACATATTGATTATATAATTGTTCGCCTATGGTATGTGCTGACTACAGCACATATTGATTATAGAATTGTTCGCCTGTGGTATGTGCTGACTACAGCACATATTGATTATAGAATTGTTCGCCTATGGTATGTGCTGACTACAGCACATATTGATTATAGAATTGTTCGCCTATGGTATGTGCTGACTACAGCACATATTGATTATAGAATTGTTCGCCTATGGTATGTGCTGACTACAGCACATATTGATTATAGAATTGTTCGCCTATGGTATATGCTGACTACAGCACATGTTGATTATAGAATTGTTCGCCTATGGTATGTGCTGACTACAGCACATATTGATTATAGAATTGTTCGCCTATGGTATGTGCTGACTACAGCACATATTGATTATAGAATTGTTCGCCTGTGGTATGTGCTGACTACAGCACATATTGATTATAGAATTGTTCGCCTATGGTATGTGCTGACTACAGCACATATTGATTATAGAATTGTTCGCCTATGGTATGTGCTGACTACAGCACATATTGATTATAGAATTGTTCGCCTATGGTATGTGCTGACTACAGCACATATTGATTATAGAATTGTTCGCCTATGGTATGTGTTGACTACAGCACATATTGATTATAGAATTGTTCGCCTGTGGTATGTGCTGACTACAGCACATATTGATTATAGAATTGTTCGCCTATGGTATGTGCTGACTACAGCACATATTGATTATAGAATTGTTCGCCTGTGGTATGTGCTGACTACAGCACATATTGATTATAGAATTGTTCGCCTATGGTATGTGCTGACTACAGCACATATTGATTATAGAATTGTTCGCCTATGGTATGTGCTGACTACAGCACATATTGGTTATAGAATTGTTCGCCTGTGGTATGTGCTGACTACAGCACAACACATATTGATTATATAATTGTTCGCCTATGGTATGTGCTGACTACAGCACATATTGGTTATAGAATTGTTCGCCTGTGGTATGTGCTGACTACAGCACAACACATATTGATTATATAATTGTTCGCCTATGGTATGTGCTGACTACAGCACATATTGGTTATAGAATTGTTCGCCTGTGGTATGTGCTGACTACAGCACAACACATATTGATTATATAATTGTTCGCCTATGGTATGTGCTGACTACAGCACATATTGATTATAGAATTGTTCGCCTGTGGTATGTGCTGACTACAGCACATATTGATTATTGAATTGTTCGCCTATGGTATGTGCTGACTACAGCACATATTGATTATAGAATTGTTCGCCTATGGTATGTGCTGACTACAGCACATATTGATTATAGAATTGTTCGCCTGTGGTATGTGTTGACTACAGCACATGTTGATTATAGAATTGTTCGCCTGTGGTATGTGCTGACTACAGCACATATTGATTATAGAATTGTTCGCCTATGGTATGTGCTGACTACAGCACATATTGATTATAGAATTGTTCGCCTATGGTATGTGCTGACTACAGCACATATTGATTATAGAATTGTTCGCCTATGGTATGTGCTGACTACAGCACATATTGATTATAGAATTGTTCGCCTATGGTATGTGCTGACTACAGCACATATTGATTATAGAATTGTTCGCCTATGGTATGTGTTGACTACAGCACATATTGATTATATAATTGTTCGCCTATGGTATGTGCTGACTACAGCACATATTGATTATAGAATTGTTCGCCTGTGGTATGTGTTGACTACAGCACATATTGATTATAGAATTGTTCGCCTATGGTATGTGCTGACTACAGCACATATTGATTATAGAATTGTTCGCCTATGGTATGTGCTGACTACAACACATATTGGTTATAGAATTGTTCGCCTGTGGTATGTGCTGACTACAGCACAACACATATTGATTATATAATTGTTCGCCTATGGTATGTGCTGACTACAGCACATATTGATTATAGAATTGTTCGCCTGTGGTATGTGCTGACTACAGCACATATTGATTATAGAATTGTTCGCCTATGGTATGTGCTGACTACAGCACATATTGATTATAGAATTGTTCGCCTATGGTATGTGCTGACTACAGCACATATTGATTATAGAATTGTTCGCCTATGGTATGTGCTGACTACAGCACATATTGATTATAGAATTGTTCGCCTATGGTATATGCTGACTACAGCACATGTTGATTATAGAATTGTTCGCCTATGGTATGTGCTGACTACAGCACATATTGATTATAGAATTGTTCGCCTATGGTATGTGCTGACTACAGCACATATTGATTATAGAATTGTTCGCCTGTGGTATGTGCTGACTACAGCACATATTGATTATAGAATTGTTCGCCTATGGTATGTGCTGACTACAGCACATATTGATTATAGAATTGTTCGCCTATGGTATGTGCTGACTACAGCACATATTGATTATAGAATTGTTCGCCTATGGTATGTGCTGACTACAGCACATATTGATTATAGAATTGTTCGCCTATGGTATGTGTTGACTACAGCACATATTGATTATAGAATTGTTCGCCTGTGGTATGTGCTGACTACAGCACATATTGATTATAGAATTGTTCGCCTATGGTATGTGCTGACTACAGCACATATTGATTATAGAATTGTTCGCCTGTGGTATGTGCTGACTACAGCACATATTGATTATAGAATTGTTCGCCTATGGTATGTGCTGACTACAGCACATATTGATTATAGAATTGTTCGCCTATGGTATGTGCTGACTACAGCACATATTGGTTATAGAATTGTTCGCCTGTGGTATGTGCTGACTACAGCACAACACATATTGATTATATAATTGTTCGCCTATGGTATGTGCTGACTACAGCACATATTGGTTATAGAATTGTTCGCCTGTGGTATGTGCTGACTACAGCACAACACATATTGATTATATAATTGTTCGCCTATGGTATGTGCTGACTACAGCACATATTGGTTATAGAATTGTTCGCCTGTGGTATGTGCTGACTACAGCACAACACATATTGATTATATAATTGTTCGCCTATGGTATGTGCTGACTACAGCACATATTGATTATAGAATTGTTCGCCTGTGGTATGTGCTGACTACAGCACATATTGATTATTGAATTGTTCGCCTATGGTATGTGCTGACTACAGCACATATTGATTATAGAATTGTTCGCCTATGGTATGTGCTGACTACAGCACATATTGATTATAGAATTGTTCGCCTGTGGTATGTGTTGACTACAGCACATATTGATTATAGAATTGTTCGCCTATGGTATGTGCTGACTACAGCACATATTGATTATAGAATTGTTCGCCTATGGTATGTGCTGACTACAGCACATATTGATTATAGAATTGTTCGCCTATGGTATGTGCTGACTACAGCACATATTGATTATAGAATTGTTCGCCTATGGTATGTGTTGACTACAGCACATATTGATTATATAATTGTTCGCCTATGGTATGTGCTGACTACAGCACATGTTGATTATAGAATTGTTCGCCTGTGGTATGTGTTGACTACAGCACATATTGATTATAGAATTGTTCGCCTGTGGTATGTGTTGACTACAGCACATATTGATTATAGAATTGTTCGCCTATGGTATGTGCTGACTACAGCACATATTGATTATAGAATTGTTCGCCTGTGGTATGTGCTGACTACAACACATATTGATTATAGAATTGTTCGCCTATGGTATGTGCTGACTACAGCACAACACATATTGATTATAGAATTGTTCGCCTATGGTATGTGCTGACTACAGCACATATTGATTATAGAATTGTTCGCCTATGGTATGTGCTGACTACAGCACATATTGATTATAGAATTGTTCGCCTGTGGTATGTGCTGACTACAACACATATTGATTATAGAATTGTTCGCCTATGGTATGTGCTGACTACAGCACAACACATATTGATTATAGAATTGTTCGCCTATGGTATGTGCTGACTACAGCACATATTGATTATAGAATTGTTCGCCTATGGTATGTGTTGACTACAGCACATATTGATTATAGAATTGTTCGCCTATGGTATGTGTTGACTACAGCACATATTGATTATAGAATTGTTCGCCTATGGTATGTGCTGACTACAGCACATATTGATTATAGAATTGTTCGCCTATGGTATGTGCTGACTACAGCACATATTGGTTATAGAATTGTTCGCCTATGGTATGTGCTGACTACAGCACATATTGATTATAGAATTGTTCGCGATCCTGGCATACCAAGAGTGACGTATTCGCCCCGCCCTCCCCTAGATATTCACATCGCCAAACCATTACAAGCCAACATTAGCCTTTACTATGATACTTTATTGTGGCTTCCCTAGTTCTACTCTAATCCTTTAACCGTTATTCCATTGTCTTAATGTGTTGCCCATTACAACTATTACAAGCCTAGACCAACCTTAACTGTTGTAGTTTGATCGTACCATGGTTGAGCCGTCTGACACGGATTCAATAGGGAACAAAAAGTGAATGCAAAACACTATGGACAGTATGGAACAAAAAGTGAATGCAAAACCCACTGAGATTAATTAAAACGACACACACATTGTAGGAAAGCACTATGTTTGTAATTATTGCGTCGTCCCTTGTGTGTAGCTGTGTGTTGCTATAATGTTGACCTATTGTTGCCCCGATGCTGACCTATTGATGCTCTTATGTTGCCGTATATGGTGACCTGTTGATGCTCTTATGTTGCCCTATATGGTGACCTGTTGATGCTCTTAAGTTGCCGTATATGGTGACCTGTTGATGCTCTAATGTTGCCCTATATAGTGACCTGTTGATGCTCTTATGTTGCCCTATATGGTGACCTGTTGATGCTCTTATGTTGCCCTATATGGTGACCTGTTGATGCTCTTATGTTGCCCTATATGGTGACCTGTTGATGCGCTCTTATGTTGCCGTATATGGTGACCTGTTGATGCTCTTATGTTGCCATATATGGTGACCTGTTGATGCTCTTATGTTGCCATATATGGTGACCTGTTGATGCTCTTATGTTGCCATATATGGTGACCTGTTGATGCTCTTATGTTGCCATATATGGTGACCTGTTGATGCTCTTATGTTGCACTATACCTCAATTATTGTCTCATCATAACAGCTTTATATAGAATAATTAGTGTTCTTTAGTTTAACCGCGAATGTTCATAGTTACAATTAAACTCAGATACACGTTCTATAGTCCAATTTTGTTCACAAATTAAAGGAATTTTTAAAATGTTTTTTCAATGTATACTTTTCTTTTTACACTCTTATGTATGCATTTTTATTACCTTTTTGGTGGAGGGGTGTAGGGGGCATGGGTCGACTTTCATGAAACATTCGTCTCATTTCAAACTTTGTTCTGCTACTTAAGAAAATCCATTATTTTAACATTAACCTCTGACCTTTAAAAATTCCACCAATCAATAACGAGCAGTTTTGGCCGTGATGTTAAAATGAAGCCAATTTGCCTTCCTTTGATTGACAGAAACCAACCTTTCTCCTGACCCCTGGGCCACGCCCCCACTTTGTTTACATTACATAACACATCAGTGAACATCTCTACCGTTGGTTCGCTACCAAATGATACAATATTTTACGCATCACTTCAAAGCCATCTATCTATCTATATATATTATTCTCTTCTGGGATCAGTTAGAAAACAAGCTGCAAGCGCCTCCTTACAGTCCCCTCTCTTCCTCTCTATCACTATTACTACCACCCCCACCCCACCCCCACATTGTCTGGTGAGCTGTGGTCACGCTGTTTACATTTTACAATCATAGAGACGGGTTTGGTGACGGCTATTAGGGGCAGATAATTTAGTTTGAAACGATTTTAAACTTAGAGGAGGTAACTAAGAGGAGGCTGCTTTCACGTGGGGGGGGGGGGGAGGGGGGTCGTTAGTATTTTTAAGGAAATATTTTCAGTGGCAGCATTGGTACTGTCGAATTAACAAATTATGAATTATTGAAAAGTAGAAAAAAAAACAACTAAATAGCGGCGTATGATACGCCGCGGGTCGGCTCGTATCATATATAAGCGGTATATATTACGGCTGTATCATTTACAAGTGGTGGTGTCATGGAGTCAGTGTTAGTGTTCGCTAACACATTGAATACACGGAGTTATTGCTACGTAAGTTTACGGCATGTTGCGTAAATTAAACTGGTATTCTAATTGGGGCGTGATGTGAATTGGTAGGTTTGGTCTCATTAGACCTGGGCCCTCACCTGATAGGTATGTCGTGTGCTGGGCCTGGTATTGTAAATGGGGCCGTGATGTGGATTGGTAGGTTTGGTCTCATTAGACCTGGGCCCCCACCTGATAGGTATGTCGTGTGCTGGTCCTGGTGCGAACGTGTGTCACGCCTCCTGACCTAGATCATCACATCAGTGTCACGCTTCAGACGACATCCGTCACGCATGACTGAAATAAGACGTCACGGTTGAGATTGTGCAATCAAGTGTTTGAATGTGACACCTTGAGCACTCCAGTCAACCGGTAACCAGCACCTTGGTGCGGGTGTACCCGCGGTTTAGTTGAGGGGGGGGGGGGGGCTACATTCTTTACAAGTCATTTGATCACAAGTTATTTTCTATGAATTATGTAGACAGCATTTAAAAGCTTGTTGTTTTAATGGGTTTTTTAGTATTAGTTTTATTGATCTTAAACCTGGTTAGCCATCTGTTTGCTGTCGTTTGGGTTAAGGTGTCGTTTTGCGAGCTGTCTTTGAGAACTCTTTTATCAAGCCGTTAGTGATCCAGTGATCCCATCTGATGGGGTTCCAGTGATCCCATCTGATGGGGTTCCAGTGACCCCATCTGATGGGGTTCCAGTGACCCCATCTGATGGGGTTCCTGGGGTTCCAGTGATCCCATCTGACGGGGTTCCAGTGACCCCATCTGATGGGGTCCCAGTGACCCCATCTGATGGGGTTCCAGTGATCCCATCTGATGGGGTTCCAGTGATCCCATCTGCTGGGGTTCCAGTGATCCCATCTGATGGGGTTCCAGTGATCCCATCTGCTGGGGTTCCAGTGATCCCATCTGATGGGGTCCCAGTGACCCCATCTGATGGGGCTCCAGTGATCCCATCTGATGGGGTTCCAGTGATCCCATCTGCTGGGGTTCCAGTGATCCCATCTGATGGGGTTCCAGTGATCCCATCTGCTGGGGTTCCAGTGACCCCATCTGATGGGGTCCCAGTGACCCCATCTGATGGGTTCCAGTGATCCCATCTGATGGGGATACAGTGATCCCATCTGATGGGGTTCCAGTGATCCCATCTGATGGGGTTCCAGTGATCCCATCTGATGGAGTACGTCTGCTGGTCACGCCATCACTCATGCCATGATTGAGGGATTTTATGTAGAGCTTTTTTTTTTACCATCTTACATTTGAGTCTTCGATAGGCAAGCCATATTCTCTATTTGGTGTCAGCTCCCTAGATAGGCAAGCCATATTCTCTATTTGGTGTCAGCTCCCTAGATAGGCAAGCCATATTCTCTATTTGGTGTCAGCTCCCTAGATAGGCAAGCCATATTCTCTATTTGGTGTCAGCTCCCATAGCGCTACCATTGTTGTCCTCGTTAACTGGCGGCACGCTACCATTAGGGGCTCTTTGTTAACTAATGTCCCGCTCCCTCCCCTTGTTGTAACACAAAGCCAGAACACCCGTGCACAAACTCACACAACACACTCACACAACACACTCACACAACACACTCACACAACACACACACACAACACACTCACACAACACACTCACACAACACACTCACACAACACACTCACACAACACACTCACACAACACACTCACACAACACACTCACACAACAAACTCACACAACACACTCACATAACACACTCACAAAACACACTCACACAACACACTCACACAACACACTCACACAACACACTCACACAACACACTTACACAACACACTCACACAAAACACTCACACAAAACACTCACACAACACACTCACACAACACTCAACACACTCACACAACACACTGACACAACACACTCACACCACACACTCACACACCACACTCACTCAAAAAAATCACACAACACACACAACAAACTCCCTTTCCCAAAATCACAAAGTTATCCCCCCCCCCTCCTCCACACCTACCATCTGATCATCCGTCACCCACCTTTAGCGTCACATTTGATCTGGCTGTTGTTTTACTCACTTTTTCAAACAGCATAATATACCCACCTCGGCTCTAATTATAGATGCTAGTTTTATAGAAGGTCAATTGTTTTAAGAAATCCATTTCATTTTCTTATTTTTAGTGCATGTATAAAAGCTAGCTACCCGTAAGATGTTTTTATTTTATTAGTGTGTTGTGCTTGAAGCTCTTCCTTACGCTTCAAACAACACATTGAACCACGACAGTTCTGCCTATAGTGTACGGGTAGTGGTGTATAGAAATTCATCTTACTAGATCGATTAGACTTTGCTAGTACTTTTGTCACAATGTGCACGCTTGAGTGGGTTTGTTCGCAGATGCAGTCAGCCGTGAGCTGTTCAAGTTGTCAAAGTATGAGGGAGGGGGGGGTTACCTACCATGTTTTTTTTCATGTTTACTGCCCTCGGTCATGGCCACACCATTAGACCGAGGTTGTTTAGCCTGCTTGTACAACACTGAGGTACTTTAGCCTGAGTATAAAACGTTGAGGTACTGACAGCTTCAGTAGTTTGATGTCCATTTCAAAGCTCCGCATAGTTCACACGTTTTTCTCTCTGCTAGTAACGTTTGAGAATTGTATTCTCTTGGTTACGATGGTATTGCTTTGTTTCCCAAAGTTTATGTCGCCTCTAAAATCTCCGACCATTACCGACAGAACTCCCATAAACCCCAAACGAAAGTTTATGTCGCGTCTAAAAGCATCCGATCATTACCAGAAGCCCAGCACCGCTTGCCTCATTAACTAAACCTTACCCACACACAAACACTGGCCTGTGGCTTGCTGTGGTCGGCAGGACAAAACCACAAAGGATGGCCGCCATTGATTGCGGAAGTCGTTTTGTTTCCCGGGCTTTTCGCAGTATCAACTCATTCATCGATTCCACGGCTGTTCTAGGTATGATGCTGACAGGTCGTTTAGTGGTGTTGATCATTCATCGATTCCACGGCTGTTCTAGGTATGATGCTGACAGGTCGTTTAGTGGTGTTGATCATTCATCGATTCCACGGCTGTTCTAGGTATGATGCTGACAGGTCGTTTAGTGGTGTTGATCATTCATCGATTCCACGGCTGTTCTAGGTATGATGCTGACAGGTCGTTAAGTGGTGTTGATCATTCATCGATTCCACGGCTGTTCTAGGTATGATGCTGACAGGTCGTTTAGTGGTGTTGATCATTCATCGATTCCACGGCTGTTCTAGGTATGATGCTGACAGGTCGTTAAGTGGTGTTGATCATTCATCGATTCCACGGCTGTTCTAGGCATGATGCTGACAGGTCGTTTAGTGGTGTTGATCAACTCATTCATCGAGTCCACGGCTGTTCTAGGCATGATGCTCAGATATTCTTGTTGCTGGTTTCCTTTTAACACTTGATCATGGGATCACTAAATGTTACGGGTCATTTGAGGTCAGGTTAGAATAGGGTAGAATACTCTCGAACTTAGGGGGAGTGCGTGTGTGAGTTGAGTTCACCCTACTGTGTAATAACCCCGGTGTGTTTATGTATTGTAATCCCAAGGTCGAATGCGGGTATAAAAGCGTGAGTGAACGATTGTGGGGGGTTAGCTTTTAGTTGGTAGCGGTTAGGTCGAGAGCTACTCTGTAATGTGAATATGTGAGACCGAATATAAGTATAGAACGTAAACACGAGTCGTTCTTGAGTTGAAACTAACCAGGACGTAACACTAAACATGTATACAATGTAGGTCTATGCCGTATATTTGTCCTCAGTTTTGTTAGTTACATTTTAGAGTTGAACAAGGCTTAGTTTTGATGCCCGTACATTATATCTGACTAGATCTACTCCATCTCTAGATGTCCGTACATTATCTCTGACTAGATCTACTCCATCTCTAGATGTCCGTACATTATCTCTGACTAGATCTACTCCATCTCTAGATGTCCGTACATTATCTCTGACTAGATCTACTCCATCTCTAGATGTCCGTACATTATCTCTGACTAGATCTACTCCATCTCTAGATGTCCGTACATAATCTCTGACTAGATCTACTCCATCTCTAGATGTCCGTACATTATCTCTGACTAGATCTACTCCATCTCTAGATGTCTGTACATTATCTCTGACTAGATCTACTCCATCTCTAGATGTCCGTACATAATCTCTGACTAGATCTACTCCATCTCTAGATGTCCGTACATAATCTCTGACTAGATCTACTCCATCTCTAGATGTCCGTACATAATCTCTGACTAGATCTACTCCATCTCTAGATGTCCGTACATTATCTCTGGCTAGATCTACTCCATCTCTAGATGTCTGTACATTATCTCTGACTAGATCTACTCCATCTCTAGATGTCCGTACATAATCTCTGACTAGATCTACTCCATCTCTAGATGTCCGTACATTATCTCTGACTAGATCTACTCCATCTCTAGATGTCCGTACATTATCTCTGACTAGATCTACTCCAACTCTAGATGTCCGTACATTATCTCTGACTAGATCTACTCCATCTCTAGATGTCCGTACATTATCTCTGTTTAGATCTACTCCAACTCTAGAAGGATTTAGGGCTTTCCTCCTGGTCCATTACTATCAGACATTCGTTCAGTGTTTTATCTCTTGTAATGTTAGGTTTCTTCTCTTTCTCCAGACGAAATTAACGTCTTCTTGCGTGTGGGATTTGTGTGTGCGGCAATTATGTCATCATTGTCGCCGGTCATACAATGACATGATATCCCCCTTACATCAGCACCTTTCCTAAGACCTAGAGTATACACAGTTGGAGGTCAACACCTCACATCAGATCTCCACATAGCTTGAGGTCATACATCCCCATCCCGCCCTTTGTTGTGGTTTCTATACATGCCTGGATGGTCTTGACGTCCCAACGTGGACGGTATCGACCCACGTCTTCTGTTGCTCCGATATTACTCGCGTCAACATGGCTGTATTGATCATGTTGTGGTGGGGAGAGGTGGGAGGGGGTCTAGGTGTTGAAATAACAGGACAAGTTCGATACTGTTTACACCAATCAGTATTTAATTGAAAGGTCAACATAGATACAATTTACACCAATCAATGTTCAAAGCTCAAGTTCGATACAATTTAGACCAATCAGTGTTTGATTTAAAGCTCAAGTTCGATACAATTTAGACCAATCAGTGTTCAATTTAAAGCTCAAGTTCGATACAATTTAGACCAATCAGTGTTTGATTTAAAGCTCAAGTTCGATACAATTTACACCAATCAATGTTCAAAGCTCAAGTTCGATACAATTTAGACCAATCAGTGTTTGATTTAAAGCTCAAGTTCGATACAATTTAGACCAATCAGTGTTTGATTTAAAGCTCAAGTTCGATACAATTTAGACCAATCAGTGTTTGATTTAAAGCTCAAGTTCGATACAATTTAGACCAATCAGTGTTTGATTTAAAGCTCAAGTTCGATACAATTTAGACCAATCAGTGTTTGATTTAAAGCTCAAGTTCGATACAATTTAGACCAATCAGTGTTTGATTTAAAGCTCAAGTTCGATACAATTTAGACCAATCAGTGTTTGATTTAAAGCTCAAGTTCGATACAATTTACACCAATCAATGTTTGATTGGAAGATCGATGTTGAATTGGTGATCACTTTTACACATAGAATCAAATTCCCCAACTTTTTTTAAAGAGCCGACGTTGAGACGGCGATAGATAAGGAGGTTCTGTCCGCGTCTACTTAATGTTGATCCAATCCAAATGGATGATCTACACGTGATTTTGGGAGCTAGACAATGTTGAACTAAATGGATGATCAACTTGGTGTTGGGAGCTAAACAATGTTGAACCAAATGGATGTTAAACACATGATGTTGGGAACTAGACAATGTTGAACCAAATGGATGTTAAACACATGATGTTGGGAACTAGACAATGTTGAACCAAATGGATGAAAAAAACACCAGTCCGTCCAACGGTCCCCTGGTTACCTGATTGTAAACATTCACCACGCCCAAGCTGTGAACTGTTTCTCGATAACATATATTTATGTCGTCATTTAAACATTTAGACGGGTGTGATTTCACGCTTGATTTCACGCGAGATTTGGTTAATCCTGTTGGTTCACGCCTCATTAAACACCAGCTGTGCTAATTCGATTAGTTGTAGATGTTGTCAGCTGTAGGCAATTTTAAATTATTCTGTCGGTCTCGTGCCTGCCGCTTCATGTCTTTGTCGTGTCAGTTTGTCTGTCAGTAGCTTGTCAGTTTGTCTGTCAGTAGCTTGTCAGTTTGTCTGTCAGTAGCTTTTCAGTTTGTATGCCAGTAGCTTGTCAGTTTGTCAGTAGCTTGTCAGTCGTCTGACATATTGATCTGTCTGTTGTCTGCTTAGATATTGATTCTGTCTTATGTGACGGTATGAGGGGCGGGGTGAGTTTCCGTTATCTTCAGTTCCCTTTGGTGCTGGTTCCCTTTGATGTATGTTCCCTTTGATGTAAGTTCCCTTTGATGTAGGTTCCCGTGATGGTTCCCTGTGATGTGTTCCCTTTGATGTAGGTTCCCGTGATGTGTTCCCTTTGATGTAGGTTCTCGTGATGGTTCCCTGTGATGTGTTCCCTTTGATGTAGGTTCCCGTGATGTGTTCCCTTTGATGTAGGTTGCCGTGATGAGTTCCCTTTGATTTAGGTTCCCGTGATGTAGGTTCCCTTTGATGTATGTACCCTTTGTCGTAGGTTCCAATTGATGTATGGTACCATTCGTATATGTTCCCGATATAGCTGTGTATACACTCTAAAAGGAGCTTGTATATTTATACTGCTTCAACATAACTCATGCATGTGTATGTTACTAAATCAAGTTAAATGTCACATACTTGTGTATAGGCTATAGACCAGATTACATGTGACATATCCACGCATATGTTACTAGATCAAGTTATATGTCACACACATATGTACATAGATCAGGTAACATATGATGCACGCATGTAAATGTTCGCCTCTAGTGAGAAAGCTTGACAATGCACTGCGATCGATTTTTTTTTCGGATTTAGCCTTGAGGTGTTTTCATAGGCGTCGTCCTAGTTCAATAATTGATGGGGTGACCTTTAAACATGTCCCCCAGCCCCTGACGTTAGTTGTATGGGGGGGGGGGGGGTCACTAAGGGTAGTCTAACCTCTAGAAGCAATTGAAATCTAGCGGCAGTTGAAAGCTAACGGACGGCAGTTGAAATCTAGCGGCAGTTCAAATCTAGGCACAGTTCAAATCTAGCGGCAGTTCAAATTTAGCGGCAGTTCAAATCTAGCGGCAGTTCAAATCTAGCGGCGGTTGAAATCTAGCGGCAGTTCAAATCTAACGGCAGTTGAAATCTAGCGGCAGTTGAAATCTAGCGGCAGTTCGAATCTAGGCACAGTTCAAATCGAGCGGCAGTTGAAATCTAGCGGCAGTTTGAATCTAGGGTCAGTTAAAATCTAGCGGCAGTTCGAATCTAGGGGCAGTTGAAAAATTAAGTGATGTGTATGTTGGGGGGGGGGTCATCACCTCGGATATACTGCACACGCCGTCCAAACATGACCCCGAGGCTAATTGTTGGTTGACTGGGCCAGGGAGAAAATTGATCCATTCCTGGGGACGGTAAAAGTTTTAATCAATTTACGGAGGGGGGGGGGGGGGGGGGGGGGCTTGTCTAATCAATCAAATGCTAGCACGTGATGTATATTTAATTTTAATGTGCACTTTTTTTTTTGGAGTTTGATGTTTCATTTTAATATGCGTTGGTCGGTTTTGTAAGTTTTACTTCCGTGCGTCGGTCGGTTTTGTAAGTTTTACTGCCGTGCGTTGGTCGGTTTTGTAAGTTTTACTGCCGTGAGATGGTCGGTTATGTAAGTTTTACCGCCGTGCGTCGGTCGGTTATGTAAGAGTTTTACTGCCGTGCGTCGGTCGGTTATGTAAGTTTTACTGCCGTGAGATGGTCGGTTTTGTAAGTTTTACTGTCGTGAGTTGGTCGGTTATGTAAGTTTTACTGCCGTGCGTTGGTCGGTTTTGTAAGTTTTACTGCCGTGAGATGGTCGGTTATGTAAGTTTTACCGCCGTGCGTCGGTCGGTTATGTAAGAGTTTTACTGCCGTGCGTCGGTCGGTTATGTAAGTTTTACTGCCGTGAGATGGTCGGTTTTGTAAGTTTTACTGTCGTGAGTTGGTCGGTTATGTAAGTTTTACTGCCGTGCGTCGGTCGGTTGTGTAAGTTTTACTGTCGTGAGTTGGTCAGTTATGTAAGTTTTACTGCCGTGCGTCGGTCGGTTATGTAAGAGTTTTACTGTCGTGAGTTTGGATCGTGCCACTAGACATCTTGAAATAACTGATGTTGACATCTAGAGAGGAGGTATAGAAAATTCTATTGGGGGTTTCAGTGGTTCTACTTTTCTCTTTGGGTATTTCACTTTTGATACCTCTGTTCAGATATTTTCTTTATTTCCGCTTCTGCATTTGTTTTGTTTCTACATTTTCGGTTCGATATTTCAGCTCGATATTTCAGCCTTGATATTTCAGCCTCGATATTTCAGCCTTGATATTTCCACCAATGTTTCCAATTAGACGAACCTGCCACCACGTTAGAGATGCTCACGTTACCTGAGTTACATGCTGTGGTCAACCTTTAAACCAGTTCTGGTCAGCGTTACGATTTGTCTGCCCCCACTACCACCACCCATACAAACGTACCTTGACTTTCCCCAGAAACCATGAGCCATCAGGGCCGTGAGCCACCAGAGCCGTGAGCCATCCCTTCCTTCAAGTCACTTTCATCTCTTGATCTGATCACGTGATTACCTCATATTTTTATCGATTTCTTCCCCCCAGAGAATTATTGAAAAACTGCTGGAAGATTACCTGACGTCTCCATGGCAACGGCCGACCACACCGGCGGGATTACCTCTTATGACGATGACTTCCTCTTGACCTTGGTGTGACCTTGACCGCTGAGGTCATAGGACGAGCCTGTTATTACATATTCAGTGTGTTTTATTCGTGTTGATTTCAAAATGGGATTAAAGGAGTTTCTTGTGGAGGCGAAAGCGAGGCTGGTAAGTCTGATGGTGTGTTGGCTATTTTTAACTGTGTTCAGTTTTGTTGGGTTTTTGTTTTGTTGTATAATTTCGTTTTATTTTTTCTAAAAGAGTTACAGCTAAATACCATAATCTTGTGTTATGTAATGATTATATTTACAAAATGTACGTTAGTTGCCAGTAATGTTACTCTGTGAATTTAAAATGTAGGCCTTACTGCGGCAATCTTTGTGCCATTCCATTACGTTTGTCCACGTCATTACCTGTTGTAGTTCACTCTCATTGTTTGTTCAGCTGATCTTCCCTTGTACTGGTCGTCTGCTGTTGTTGTTGTTATTGTTGTTGTTGTTACTTGTATTATTGACTTGTGTGGGGATATTTATAGTACAGCTGGTGACAGGCAACTTCTGAGATCGAACAGTTTGAGAAACTCAGCACAAAGTGAAACCCAGCAGTACATCACGTGACCGAATGCCTCGTTCATCCGTAGCATAGTCTAAGCAGTACTTAAAATATCTACACATGATCATGGTCGTAGTTTGAAGTGCGTTAGGTGACCTGATTCATAGAAATCTAAACTAGATTACGAGAATAAGGTCAGGTGCATTACTGCTGCTGTCTGGAATAGCAAGGCCGCCATAAGTAAGAAAACAATTGAAGCAAGCAAGGAAAAGTGTTGCACTCAACCCCAGACCAAGGTGGTAGAATAAATTGTTAATGTCAACAAACACGAACCGCTACTCTGTCAAAACTAGTCGGTGTTGTCTCCCCTAGGGTTATCCATCTGTTTGCCGATGTTCAGCTCAAGTTATTGAGCGATGAGCACCAACGGCAGAGAAGTGCTCACGTTCTCCGTTTTCTACCTCAAGCCTTCACATAACACAACACTACCCCACATATAACACCACACAACATATCACATAATACCACACAACCCCATATAACGCCCCCACACAACCCCGCACATAAAACCACACAACCTCTAAACATAACACCACACAACCTATCGCATAATACCACACAACCCCATATAACCCCACACAACCCCACAATAACACCACACAACCCCACACATAACACTACACAGCCACACACGTAATACCACACAACCCCACACATACCACACAATCCCACACATAACCCCACACATAACACCTCACTACCCCACACAGAACACCACACAACCTATCACATAATACCACACAACCTCACACATAACACCACACAACCCCACATATAACACCACACAACCCCACACATAACACTACACAGCCACACACGTAATACCACACAACCCCACACATACCACACAATCCCACACATAACCCCACACATAACACCTCACTACCCCACATAGAACACCACACAACCTATCACATAATACCACACAACCTCACACATAACACTACACAGCCACACACATAACACCACACAACCCCACACATAACACCACACAACCCCACACATAACGCCACACAGTTGTGGTGACACCTTTTTACTGGCTGGTGTTGTGACACCTTTTTACTGGCTGGTGTTGTGATGACACCTGTTAGGCTAGGAAATCAGTGATTGAAAACTTCCGTGTGCAAGGAAATCAAAGATTGAAAACTTCCGTGTGCAAGGAAATCAAAGATTGAAAACTTCCGTGTGCTAGGAAATCAGAGATTGAAAACTTCCGTGTGCTAGGAAATCAGAGATTGAAAACTTCCGTGTGCTAGGAAATCAGAGATTGAAAACTTCCGTGTGCTGGGAAATCAGAGATTGAAAACTTCCGTGTGCTAGGAAATCAGATATTGAAAACTTCCGTGTGCTATTGAAAACTTCCGTGTGCTGGGAAATCAGAGATTGAAAACTTCCGTGCTTTAGATTTAAACTAACCCCACTTCGAAACGGCACATTTTCTCGATCAATCGCAGAATCAACGAGATTAAGCCTATGTGCCTTGTGGTTTATTTGTTCAGTTTTGTTGGGGTCTTTGTTTTGTTGTATAATTTCGTTTTATTTTTCTAAAAGAGTTACAGGTAAATACCATACTCTTGTGTTAGTTAATGTAATGATTACATTTACAAAATGTACATTAGTTGCCAGTAATGTTACTCTGTGAATTTAAAATGTAGGCCTTACTGCGGCAATATTTGTGCGACTCCATTACGTTTGTCCACGTCATTACCTGTTGTAGTGAACTCGCATTGTTTGTTCAGCTGATCTTCCCTTGTATTGGTCATCTGTTGTTGTTGTTGTTACTTGTGTGGGGACATGTATAGTACAGCTGGTGGCAGGCAACTTCTGAGATCGAGCAGTTTGAGAAACTCAGCACAAAGTGAAACCCAGCAGTACATCACGTGACCGAATGCCTAGTTAATTCGTAGCCTAGGCTAGTAGTACTTAAAAAAATCTACACATGTATAACTAGTGATGGTCGTAGTTTTAAGGACAGGTGCATTATTGCTGCTGTCTGGAATAGCAAGGCCGCCATAAGTAAGAAAACAATTGAAGCAAGCAAGGAAAAGTGTTGCACTCAACCCCAGACCAAGGTGGTAGAATAAATTGTTAATGTCAACAAACACGAACCGCTACTCTGTCAAAACTAGTCGGTGTTGTCTCCCCTAGGGTTATCCATCTGTTTGCCGATGTTCAGCTCAAGTTATTGAGCGATGAGCACCAACGGCAGAGAAGTGCTCACGTTCTCCGTTTTCTGCCTCAAACCCTCACACAATACCACACAACCCCACATAACACCACACAACATATCAAATAAAACCACACAACCCCACACATACCACTCAACCACACGCATAACACCACACAACCCCACACATATCATCACACAAACCCACACATAACACCACACAACATATCACATAATACCACACAACCCCACACATAACAACACACAACCCCACACATAACACCACACATAACAACACACATCCCCACACATAACGCCACACAGTTGTGGTGACACCTTTTTACTGGCTGGTGTTGTGCCACCTTTCTACTGGCTGGTGTTGTGGTGAAACCTTTTTACTGGCTGGTGTTGTGGTGACACCTTTCTATTGGCTGGTGTTGTGGTGCCACCTTTTAGGCTGGTGTTGTGGTGACACCACTCATTAGACTAGCCATCTATAGTTAGCCGTGAGTACATCTCCGTGTGCACATACAAGCTCTTCCAGCCCAGATCAATGAAGCCAAAGTTTGAGTCATGGACAGTTTGCAAACTTCCGTGTGCTAGGAAATCAGAGATTGAAAACTTCCGTGTGCTAGAAAATCAGAGATTGAAAACTTCCGTGTGCTAGGAAATCAGAGATTGAAAACTTCCGTGTGCTAGGAAATCAGAGATTGAAAACTTCCGTGTGCTAGAAAATCAGAGATTGAAAACTTCCGTGTGCTAGGAAATCAGATATTGAAAACTTCCGTGTGCTAGGAAATCAGAGATTGAAAACGTCCGTGTGCTAGGAAATCAGAGATTGAAAACGTCCGTGTGCTAGGAAATCAGAGATTGAAAACTTCCGTGTGCTAGGAAATCAGATATTGAAAACTTCCGTGTGCTAGGGAATCAGAGATTGAAAACTTCCGTGCTTTAGATTTAAACTAACCACATTTCGAAACGGCACATTTTCTCCATCAATCGCAGAATCAACGAGATTAAGCCTATGTGCCTTGTGATTTATTTGACCAAGAAAATGAAATGCATTTCCATTAGGCAGCTGTTTACTTCAGTAATTGTGGGGTTTCGATAGTTTTTTTATTTTTAAATATGTGCACCTTGGCTAAAATGTGCACCTTGGCTAAACTTGTGCACCTTGGCTAAATGTCGGCAACAGATGCTGTAACAAAACGGAGAGGCTATAAACAGATTGTGACATGTCATTACTTGACACAGGGGGCTTTAAACCACTAGTTGCACACTAGACTACCCACGTGTCTTACCCCTAGACTACCCACGTGTCTTACCCCTAGACTACCCACGTGTGTTACCCCTAGACTACCCACGTGTGTTACCCCTAGACTACCCACGTATGTTACCCCTAGACTACCCACGTATGTTACCCCTAGACTACCCACGTATGTTACCCCTAGACTACCCACGTATGTTACCCCTAGACTACCCACGTGTCTTAACCCTAGACTACCCACGTATGTTACCCCTAGACTACCCACGTATGTTACCCCTAGACTACCCACGTATGTTACCCCTAGACAACCCACGTGTCTTACCCCTAGACTACCCACGTGTCTTACCCCTAGACTACCACGTATGTTACCCCTAGACTACCCACGTATGTTACCCCTAGACTACCCACGTATGTTACCCCTAGACTACCCACGTATGTTACCCCTAGACCACCCACGTGTCTTACCCCTAGACAACCCACGTGTCTTACCCCTAGACTACCCCGTGTCTTACCCCTAGACTACCCACGTATGTTACCCCTAGACTACCCACGTATGTTACCCCTAGACTACCCACGTATGTTACCCCTAGACTACCCACGTATGTTACCCCTAGACTACCCACGTGTCTTAACCCTAGACTACCCACGTATCTTACCCCTAGACTACCCCCGTGTGTTACCCCTAGACTACCCACGTATGTTACCCCTAGACTACCCACGTGTGTTACCCCTAGACTACCCACGTGTCTTAACCCTAGACAACCCACGTGTCTTACCCCTAGACTACCCCGTGTCTTACCCCTAGACTACCCACGTATGTTACCCCTAGACTACCCACGTATGTTACCCCTAGACTACCCACGTATGTTACCCCTAGACTACCCACGTATGTTACCCCTAGACTACCCACGTGTCTTAACCCTAGACTACCCACGTATCTTACCCCTAGACTACCCCCGTGTGTTACCCCTAGACTACCCACGTATGTTACCCCTAGACTACCCACGTGTGTTACCCCTAGACTACCCACGTGTCTTAACCCTAGACTACCCACGTATGTTACCCCTAGACTACCCACGTATGTTACCCCTAGACTACCCACGTATGTTACCCCTAGACAAC